TTAATCCCTTTTCCACCTCTATTGTTGTCAATGAGGAAACGCAACTCGGAAAGGGTAAGGATCTGCTCCAGATCCAAGCCTGATTTCCGGCTTCATTGCAAAGCCTTTCTCAACCAGCCTTTTGCGGGCCCACGTCACGATCAGCTGAGCAGGTAAGGAGCTTGTTCCCAGCCCACCAGGAACCCAGGCCCCTCCACCTTACCACAGGCCGTTTCTCTTCCTGCCCACCTCGGGCCTGGGGTTCTCCACCTCCTGGGGACCTCGACATCCTCACAGATGGGATGTAGGCTGCCCGTGTTCTCCATTTCATAAGGAAACGCACGGCTGTGGGCCCACAGGGACCTGCGGCTCGGGAGGCCTTATGAAAACTTGGGCTGGCCAGGGGCCTCTCCACCTGGCATCTCAGAGCCTCAGGGCTGGGGTCCCAGAAACTGCGGTTTCCCTGCACTGTCCTTGACCCCAATGTCTGTTGTCTCTTCCAGGGGCCCAGGCAGCACTGTGGCAGGTGAGCAGGGCAAAGTGCGAGGCCTTGGAGTTGCTCCCACCACTCGACATCCTGCCAAGGGTTGGAGGCTAGGGTGGGGTGACCCCTGCTTTTCAGGGTGCCTAACCGGTAAGGACCATTTGCCCTAAATCCTCCTATTCAGAGGGATTTTTCTAGGCTACAGACTTAACATTATCTCCGGAAGACATCACCGGGGTGGTCCTAGCCTCCTTCTGATGGGCTTGGGCAGGAAGACGGCCATCAGGCCACTTCAGATTTGTGTCCATGGGCCCCGCTGTAAACCCTGCCATCATCCCCTGGCTAGCATGACTACATGGCTATGACTGCACTACTACTCGTGTGTGTGTTTGTTTAAACACATACATTTGTTTAATGTAAACATTTAAGACCTAGGGCAGTGATGGCGAACCTTTTGAGCTCGGCGTGTCAGCATTTTGAAAAACCCTAACTTAACTCTGGTGCCGTGTCCCATATAGAAATTTTTTGATATTTGCAACCATAGTAAAACAAAGATTTATATTTTTGATATTTATTTTATATATTTAAATGCCATTTAAGAAAGAAAAATCAACCAAAAAAATGAGTTCGTGTGTCACCTCTGACACGTGTGTCATAGGTTCGCCATCACTGACCTTTGGTACAATAATTTTTGTATGGCTGCTTTGGAAGTTTTTCACTTTTATATTCTGGGAGTCTCGGGAGATGGCAGTGGCTAGTGTAGGCAAACTTGAGAGGCCTGCATCTCTCTCTCTCTCTCTCTCTCTCTCTCTCTCTCTGCCTGGGAGCAGGAGTCCAGGCCTTTCCCACAGGCTGCTCCTGCCTGGTGTGGCCTCTCTGTGCTTCTGGCGGGTCCTGGCATCATCCTCGGGCCAGAAACCTGGGTGCGGGTGCGGCTCCTTCCTGGGAGAAGGCCAGAGCGGCCTCCAGGGCCTCCGGCCCAGAGCGGGTGTTTTCCGGAGTTTGGCGGCGCTTCCGGTGCTTAACTGGATTGCAGGCCTGCCACTAGCTTGAGTCATGAGAAGCCGAGCCAGAAGGGTAAGGGCAGGCCTCAGCGGGATCAGGAGGCATCTTTTGGAGGCTTTTTTACATATATACAATACTAGAGGCCCGGTGCATGAAATTCGTGCACAGGTAAGGTCCCTAGGCCTGGCCGGCTATCAGGGCTGATCTGTGGGGCAACCGGGGGGGGGGGGGGGGGGCACTGGCACTCATCTTGGCTGGACTGGCACCACCCACTTGCCAGCCCAGCTCCCACCACCACCACCACTGCCGGTCGCCACCCTCTGTGGGGTGACTGGCGGGGTGATCAGGGGGCCCCTGCCTTGACTGGCCTGGCACCACCCACTCACCAGCCCTGCCCCGCCTCGCTGCCGGTCCAGGCCTGCCAGCTGGGGGCAGCTCCTGTGTTGAGCATCTGCCCTCTGGTGGTCAGTGCAGGTCATAGCGACTGGTCAATTTGCATATTAGGCTTTTATTATATAGATTTTTCAATCCTCACCCAGGATATGTTCTCACTGATATTTTTTTTTTTTATTTCAGAGAGGAAGGGAGAAGGAGAGAGAGATAGAAACATCAGTGATGAGAGAGAATCATTGATCGGTTGCCTCCTGCATGCCCCACCTGGGGATCAAACCCGCAACCCAGGCATGTGCCCGTGACTGGAACCTGGGACCCTTCAGTCCGCACTCTGACTCTCTATCCACTGAGCCAAACCAGCTAGGGCTTCACTGATTTTTGAGAGAGAGAGAGAGACAGAAAGAGAGAGAGAGAGAGAGAGAGAGACTGATGTGAGAGAGAAACATCAGTCAGATGCCTCCCATAAACACCCTGACTGGAGAATCAAACCTGCATCCTAGGTATGTGCCCTGATTGGGAATCGAGCCCATAACCTTTTTGTGTAGGGACAACACTACAACCAACGGAGCCACCCAACCAGGGCTTGGGGGCTTTCAAAGTGGAAGATAAAGGCAGGGTCCGGGCTGCCTTCAGTGGGGCCTCACCCAGAGTCCCTTGCTGGTCCCACCAGAGCCTTTTTCCTTCTGCACCCAGTCTGACTGGGGTGAGGAGGTAAGCTTCCAGTGCCCGTGCTCAATGCACTCATGCGGGTGGGGCTCAGCTCCTGCGAGACCCTGAGCCAGTGCTGCGCAGGCAGGAGGAGCTATTTCCGCTGCCGGAGAGGCCTGTGCACGTGCTGTACCTGCTGCCTGGACTCCACCCCTCCCACTGGCCCAGTTTTTTTCTCTTTCCAGTGTCAGCTCAGAACCCCACCCCCAAGCCCTCCTCCAGGTAATAATACCAAGAACAACCACCCATCTCCTGAACTCACTCCGACGGCCTTCTTGGTCAGATGTTGTTCAAATTCTAAGAAAAATCAAATTCTGAATTCTGAGCTACCTATGAATTTGGCAAACTGGTTTCCTACCCCAGGAATGAGAACAACAAGAGAAGAAACCCGAAACATAATTCGGAAGCGGCGGGAAGATCAGAACAAGGAGGGGAAGGATGTGTGAAGACACAACAGAAACAGCTTTAGCGGGAGGAACAGAACAAGATGTCAACAGTAGTCAGAGTGACCATTTATGCTGCTTGTCCGAATGGCCTTCAGACACTGAGTGACTCTCTACACTGGGAATAGCTGGAGCGCTCACTACTCAGAGTGATTTGGAAATGTTAACACTTGTATAAATGTCATATAATTAATTTCCAGTGGAGCATGTATTAACTATAAGGCTAAATATGTTAATGAGGCCAAATTTTCCAGCATGTGTAATTATTTTTTTCACTTGCTAGGAATCTTTTGTTATATGTTTTCTGTTCATAGTACTTGAAACTGCAACTTCTAAACACAGAATAAATAAAAAGAAAATATGTACAGGAGGAAATGGGGGAAAAAATTGCCCAAAACCCCCTACTCCAACTTTGTCTCATTTAATCCCCCTAAAGGTCCTATACGGCAGGTATTATAATTTCTACCTTACAGATGAGGAAACTGAGGCCCAGAAAGGCTAAGCGGTGTCCAGCATCACCCAGTTGGTGAGAAGTGGACAAGGGGACAATGAGGACAATGCCGCCTTGATGGAGACAGAACCCAAGTGGGACGGGCAGAGAGGGCCCAGGTGGGACATCCCTGCACTGCCTTGGTCTCTCATGAATCCCTGAGCCATGGCAGCTGGGCTCCAGACCACAGTGGCAGCATGGTAATCACCTACTGACTTGGGTCTCTCCCTGGGACCATGAATTCCTTGAGGGCAGAGATCTGTCCTGTCTGCCACTGTAGCCCCAGCATCAGCTCTGTACCTGGCACATGAAGGGCAAGCAAGCATTAGCTCAGTGAATAACTGACCTCTAAGCCTCAGTCTTCTCATCTGAACAATGGGGTGGGTTTGGAAAGATAGCATACTTCAGGTGCTTAGCACATAGTAGGTCCTCAGGAAAAAATGAGGACTAATAATTATCAGTGATCAATTATCTGTGCCTTAGAGGGGTCTGATCTATTCCCCTGTGGCCACATTTCCTCTCCAAGCTGCTATGAAAGAAACCATCCTCTAGGGGTCCCCCAGCCCAGAGTGAACCCAGAGACCCCCACAGCAGCCATTCTTGCCTCCCCTTGAGCAGGGCCCTCCAGGCTTCTGGAATTAGGGTTCAACCAGGGAGAAGGGACAGGAGCAATGTCCGTGGGTCAACATTTTGTGTAGTGCATGAAAGCCAGGACCACCCCTCCCCTGCCCCATGGGGGAGGGGGAACAGGTAGGAGTGTCACTGGAGCAGAAGAGGTGGGGGATGACTGTCTTACTCTCTGGCTGGGGTCCCTGGGACCATCCTGATGGCATCAGGAGTGCCCACTGGGTTGGGTGATGTGTTTTCTGAGTGTGACACCCATCGGCCAACAGAGGACAGCACATACATTTTTTATGATCTTGGGAAGCTCAGCCCCGTCACGTTCACTTGAAAAGAGGCTGGGCGGTCAAGGGGACAAGTCATGTCTCAGTTGTTTGGATCATCGATAGGCAGGAGGGGACCCTTCTGCCCTGATCTGGAGGTCCCTGGGCAAGGGCTGCAGGTGGGGCAGACTTCAGGAGGTGTCTGAGTGTGTGTGGGGGGAGGGGTGCTTTACTGTTGGAACCTTATGTACTTTTTGGAGGGGGAGTACCTCCTGGGGGAGGAGGCAGCTGTCAGCGCCAGAGGCCAGATCTTTGCCAGGTGGAGAGGGCAACCTCATGCCCCACCCCAAATTTCCCAAGTATCTCTCAGAGCCTGGCGCTGTGAACGGCAGTAAAGCGACATTAGCATGGGGAAGGGGAAGCGCGGCGTTATCTTTGGGCCTGAAGGGGAGTTGGTATTTGGGGGAGTTCTTGGGAACAGGGGATGTCCGTCCTGTTTCAAACCTGAGGCTTCCGGGGGACTCTGGTCTTCCCCAAGTTGGTTAGGGGCCACCAAGGGGTGGGTGGCAGGTGTGGGGACAGTCTGGGTGCTGCTCAACTTCCACTGTTCGTCCATGGGGGGTAGGGGGAGTGTTGAAAATGGGAGGAAGGGCTAAAAGCACCTGCTGGCACTGGCACTGGTGTTCCCGAAAGGAGGAGGCAGCTCTGGGGGCGGGTCTGAATCTTAAGTAGATGTGTCCCCATTCGGGCACCCCTACACCCCCATCTGAAGGGTCCCTGGAGCGCACTTGGAGGAATCCTGCGCACCCCCAGGATGGAGCCCAGCCTGGACTCCCTCCTCCTGCCTCCGCCCAGCCAAGTGGGGAATGTCCCCCCTCTCCCATCGCCCCCCCCCCCCCCCAGTTTGGAGAACCCCAATCTGTCCCCACGGGTCGAGGCTGACGTCGTCCCCTCCGCATTTCTAGGAATGCCCCTGTCCGCTGACTATATTTGGAGAGGGTTTCGAGGAAGGCACCCCGGGTCCCAGCCACAGCCCCCACCCCAGGCAGGGAGCGTGCTCAGCCGCAGGCTCTTGCCCTCTCTCTCCGACCCGGCGGGGAGGAGCCGCCCCGCCGCCAGATCCACTACCGCCGCCTCCCCAGCACGGCCAACCCCGGGCCGGCCCAGCCCCCGCCCCCGCCGGCCATAGGGCGTGGGGGGGGGGGGAGCGGGGAGGGGGCCGGGCCCGGAGGGGGGACGGGGGCGCGGCTTTGTGGCGGCCGCGGACCGCGGAGGCCGGGAGCAGCCCGTCCGCTCCGCGCTCTCTGCAGAGCAGGGTTTCCTAGCCCCCCTCCCCCGCCCCCCATCACTTGGCTTTCGTCTGGGCGGGGAGGGATTTTTTTCTGGAAGTCTGCCCCCCACCCCACGGAGCAGGATTTGAGCCTGGGCTCCAATCTGGGCGGAGGCTGCAGGGCCCGCGGGGCACCCCCACCCCCCACCGCTCCGCGCACGCCTCCCCAGAGCCCCGAAAGGCGCAGCCCCAGGGGGCCTCCTGCACCCCCGGAGGAGGCGGCGGCGGTGAGTCTCCCCTTTTCCCTCCATGGCACCCCTCCCCCGGGCTGGGGCCGCGGCAGGTGGGTGCCCAGGCCCGTGGAGCGAGGAGGGGTGCGGGGCGAACGCCTGGGGGGTGGGTGGGAACCGGAGCGGGGAGGCTGCGGCCGGAGCCTCGCGCGGCTCTCCCGGGACCCGGTGAGACTCTGGTCTGGGCTGCGATCGCCGCCGCCGCCCCCCGAAGCGGCGGGGTGGACGGTCCCCAGCCCCCTCCCCGGCTCCCGAGAGGGGAGTGTTGGGCGGGCGGGGTGGGATGGGGGCGAGGCAGCCCCCCACCTCCCTGGAGCTCGGGCTGGGAAACTAAGGAGGCGGTGGGAAGGGCAGCCACCCCGCCCCCACCCCGGGGAGCCCATCGGGAAACTGACTCGCTGCGTGACCCCGATATCAATGCTGAGCGGAGAGCAGGCCGCCGGCTCGCGGTCCGCGCCCTCCGCGCCCGCCGCTCCACGTGCGCCCGGGGCTGCGCTGGCTCGGATGGGGCCGGCGCCACCCTCCTGGGGACGTCGGGAGAGCCGGGGGGACGGCCCCCCGAGAGTTCCCACCTCCCCGAAGTAAAGTTGGCCGCCCGCTCGCCGCGTCCCTCCCTTCCTCCCCGGAGCGGGCGGCCATAGCACGTTGGCTGTAGCTTTCGCTGGGCAGGAGTCAAAGGAAACTAGGTTCCGGGGTGCGGATCGGGGTGCCGGGGCCCGAGACCAACCGAGTTGCTCCGGCAAAAGTTAGGGGAGAAAGCAGCACAAGACATTCAGATTTGGGGGCGGGGGGAGCAGCGGTTCTGGCTTCTCCCGCTTCCAATCCCCTCCCGAGGAGCAGTGGAATGTGCCGCTCAGATCCTCTGAGGACACATCCATATTTATAATTTATTTTTAGGAGAAGTTGTGGAAAAGGGCGGGGGCTTAAGGTGGGGGAGAAAAGGTGTATGTGCGGGGGTGGCCTTTCAGAACCCAGGGGCTAATTGAGCTATTAAGATGCTGATAATTCCCCCCCAATCTGAGCAAGCAGCAAATTTGACTTTAATGAGAGACAATTAAGGGCACGGATAACTAAACTTTAGCTGGATGGAGGTGGGGGTGGAAGTGTACCAGGCACCACAGGCACTCCCTTTGCGCTTTGCTAAAGGGCATTTTGGCCGCCCAGAGCCTTACCCGGCAAATTTCAGGCCCAACTGTGGATCTGGGGGCAGGAGAAGGGAAAAGATCCCCCTATGGGGTGGGCAGATCCGCCCTCTCCCTACCACGATCCCAGCTTTTCCGCGTGATGAACTGTCATGTCTGCAGGAAAACCCTGTCATGATTCCTTCCCTTATCCAGGATTCTCCTAAATCCTGCCTCCAACACAGCCTGCCCCCGTGCTGTGAGCTGGGGAGGGGTCACTCCTCCAGAAAGGAGATGTTGAAGGCTGTGGTCCCAGAATCGGGGTTTTGAGGGCGAGATGAGTTTATGTTTTATCCAACTGGCCCACAAAGTCCCGCTTTTGGGGTCATTCTCAACAGCGAGGGACTCAGGTCCCCCAGCAGCCCCGGGAGAGTGAGGGAGAAAGCTGACACCCCCAGGCTGCGCCTCTGAAAGTCAGAGGGAAGCGGGGAGGTGTACCACTTGGGGTAAAAGTGAAAGGCTGTGTTGGGGATAGTCGTGTGTGTGTGTGTGTGTGTGTGTGTGTGTGTGTGTGTGTGTCAGTTTGTTGAACCTGCTGTGTTTTCCAGGGCCTCTTTGCTCGGAAGGCCAAAAGGAGATATGTGAAGGCAAAAGTACAACCCCCTCACCCCCCAATGGTTTGATGAGATGTTTTCATGGACAGGATTTGAAGGAAACGAGTGGCACATTGCTTGCTTGACACCCCCAAAATCAAACAGCGCTGAAACCACGAATCATAATTATATTAGATTTGCCTTCAGATCTGTCAGAGGAGCAGCCCTCTGCTTGCTTCCACGTGGAATCACAATATTTCTTTGCAAGTCCTTGCTGCCTCCCTCTAAGTCGTTTTATAAGAAACTCTGCATACAGGGAATTTCCAAAGGCAAGGATGGTGGAGGACAAATGCCCCTCCCAGAACATTAACCTTATTAAGTTGCATTAATTTACACACAACACACACATACACACACCTGACATTTATTTGTAACCTCCGGATATCCACGTACCTTAATTTTATTAAGGGAATAGGAAAGTAAGGTACCTGAAAAGGCTCAGTGCTTAGTGGACAGGGCACATGGACACACAGATGACAGGGGCTGCACTGCCCGGGTTTTAGCAAAAGCACTTCTTGACTTCCAGAGTTCTTGCTCCAGCGAGGCTGGGCGATGGGAAATTGTCACGCTGTAAAAGGGTGCTTGTGCTTTGCTGAATCGTCACTGCCCTCGGAGCTGACTGTCAGATCCTATTTACTCTGCTAAATAAGGATATCTCGCCAAATTAGCCTTTAATGATACTTCTACAAAGAGGGCGCTTTCTGTGAATTACCCAGGCCGGAACACGGAACGTTACGCCAGGATCCTGAGTTATAATCGCGGCGACGAAGCCGTATGTTGAGATTACTGAATTGTTACGTGTGGAAAATCAGGCAGGATTTAGTGCGAAATGGGAATGCCGAGCATTTGCTCAGTACAGTCCCTGCTTAAATTCAGCCCTCTGAAACCGGGCATGTAATTATAGGAATACCTTTAGCAAACTTTCCCCCCACCCCCCACCCCCTGAGTCTGGAAACAGGCAAAGCAGTATGATGAAGAGATTATAAATCAGTACTTTGCAAGTGAGAAGTTGTCATTAATTCGGCAAAGAATCACAGCTTCTTTTCATAGTCTTACCACCACCCCTCCCCCCACCCACCAAGGGAAAAAAAACACCTAAACGTAGGACTGATGTACACACTGATTACCTTTTGCCTTTTCTCCTCTGCGTAAAATTTCATTAAGCAGTTGCTATCCCACTCCCCACAAGAAGTGTGGATTTTAGGGGGCAGGAGGGCGGAAATAGCAACTCTGAATTTCGTTTTTAGCAATACACAAGCCATGGCGAATCTCACAGGGGGGGAAATATTTCGAAGGAAAAGAATATGGTGTAGCCGGGGGTAAAATTTTTAGAGGTGCTGCTGCAGTGAAACGGATACTTCCTTAAAAAATAAGACGTGTGTATGACTCAAACCAATGAAAGCTGGACGAGTCCCCACGAGGGACACTCCCTCTATTTCTTGTTTCCCAGGCCCCCCTCCCGCCTTATATTAAGAACAGAAAGAAGATTCTCGCCAGATAATAAACTTACAGCTTCCTAATAGGTTGGCTCGCCCTCTTTTAATTGGGATTGTAAATACAGCTATTTCAGACGTGAGGATAGAAATTAGTCTGATGGAAAAGTTAGTCGACTCCGTAGTTACAGTCGCTTGCCAGAAAACAGGGGCACCCGCAAAGAAAATAAAACATTGTTGGCTGGAGTTATTGAAGCTGGAAATTTCTGTCTTTCCCAGCGTCCTAAACTCAGGGAAATGTAAAGTCCTTTTTGCTTCTTATTTTTGGAAAGAGGTGAAAATGAACCCTGGAAAAAGACACCTACACAAACATGATGTAAACAACCGTAGACTTGCCAGGCCTAGTAGCTGCGCAGGCTTTTCAGGCCAAAGGGTGGGTGTTGAAGAGAGTTTGCAAGGAGTGGAATTGGGGGTCCCTTCATCACCCCGAGGCCCCGAGCCCTCCTTGTGGTGTCTTTTCAGAGCAGCCAACCATCAGATGCTGCTTTCTCGGCGTCCTCAGCTGTAGGGGGCATGAGCAAATATTTAGAAAGCCTGAACGTTTCTGATTTTACGTCATCTTCCTTATATAAAACCTTTGGGCTTAAGGATCCACAAAGCCAAATTGTTGCTCTGTGTCCTTGAATGGCTGCATCAGCCCATGAGAGGGAGACACACCTAGGAAATGGAAACTCATGCTGGTGTCACCAGAAAGCCATTTAAAAAATGCATTGGGACGTTGGGGGCAGATTCGGCCTCCGCAGCCGGAGGACCTGGCCCCGGCAGGGAAAGGAGTGCGAGGCTGGCCTGAGCCTTCGGGGAGCTGTGCGGCCTGGTGTGAAAGTTTCCTCAGAGGTGTGCTGAAAGCTAGGCTGTCTTGTTGGAATCATGGGTGAGGTCAGTGCCCAGGCCTGTTGGCATCTCTGCCCAAGACAGCCTGGACTGCTGCCAGCGCAGGCCTGAACGTGGCCTCACAGCCACTGCTGGAGCCCAAACAAGCCCCAGGCAGGTGCCCCAGGGTCTCTCCTCCCAGGACCCAGCCTGCAGCATTTCTTGGCCAGAAGTGGGGTGCTGGGCTCCCAGGGCAGCCTCCTCTGAGACGCTACAGGGTTCACTGTCCAGTTACCATGTGGGCTCGGGTGAGGGCAGAACCCACTTTGTGAAATAAGCACAGTCTCCCAAATGCTTGAAGGGAGACGGGGGGGTGGTCCTAAGAGCTCCAAGCAAATCTGCCTCCAGTCTCGAAGGTTCTGGGGCAGAGATGTACTTTTGCAGCCCAGGCTGAGGCTCTCTGCTGTCTAGCAACAGGGCTCCCCAGTGATCCTGCCCTGGGGGCAGGGTGGGGTGGGGGCGAGGGGGTGAGGCCCAGGGGCAGCAACAAAGCACACACACAGCTAAGCCATCTGCAAGCTACCTGTGTGTGTTTGCCCCTGTCTTCTCCGACCAGTGGGCCTCTCATCCACCGGCGCTGAGCCCTCTTATCACGGGGAAACCTGGGAAGGAGGGCAAGGTTGTAGCCCTAGAGTGGGGAGAAGGCTCCGGGGGACCATCGGTGGGCCAGCTGGGCGGATGAGGGGACAGCCATCTGAGGCCCCCTGGGAGGGTGCCCCGAGAGAGAACTGGATGAGCATTCTGGGAGAGAAGCAGCAGGAACCTGCTTGGGGAAGAAAGTTGCATCCAGCTCTGAGTCAGCCATTCCCACGGGACTCCCATTGGCCCCAGTAACTGGACACCAGGCCACCAAAAGGCCTCGTGGGCTCCTGATTGCATCTTAGAATGGCACTAAGAGGTCCAGACTGGGCACTCGCAGGCCAGGCCATATTTAGCCTTAGGTTCACCCAACGAATATTTTAGGTGCTGCTTGAAAGAAGAGATCTGGTTGCTGGCTGTCACATGGCCAGTGTAGACTTGCTCCCTCGCAGGCCTGGCCCAGATGGCCGGCCGGGTGCTCCCTGGCATCTGCAGAGTCCCCGCCAGAGACCCAGAGCCACGCGACAGGTGCCAAGGAGCCAGTGAGCACCCGGGTAGTTGGTTCTGTGTCGGGAAGCTTTTTGCCCCATTTTCATTCTGTTGGCGATAAGGACGCCTCCATTCACAGAACTCACAGAGGCTGTTTTGAGTCCCTCTCTCCTGCTGATGGCCCAGTGTGATGGCCCAGTGTGATAGGCCAGCTTGCTGAGTGAGCAGCCTCCTCCGCCTGGTGTCAGTGACGGTGGGAGGGGTTAACCCTTTCACAGCCGGGGGTGCTGGTGGGCACAGGGGCCCAGCCTGTGGAGACCTCAGGGCCCACATGCCCCATGGGAGCCACTGCCCCGGACTCCTTCCTTAGCCTCAGTTGTTAGTGGTGGGCCCGGAGGGATGGTGCGTGGCCCTGAGCAGTGATTTTCGAGCCTTTTTGCCCCACCAGTGATAACCTCTAGTCTCCCCTAATCAAGTCTTCACCCTTCTGTTGGTTGGACGGCCGTGGAAACCGCTGCTCACTTTCCAGATATTTTCATCCAGGTTTCCCACCTTCCAGGGGAGGAGGTCCTGATGGAGTCCTGGCTCACTTAGATCATTAGCGAGAGTTTGGAATAACCATTGGGGTCTTGGGGAACGTCGCAGGGTCCAGCAAGGGCCTGGCATTGGGGAATGACCCCTGGAACCTGCTCTGAGGTTCCAGATCCTGGTTTTCTGGGCACAGACCTGGTTTTCTGGGCACAGAGGCGGCACATCTGCATTGAAGCCGCTGTGTGGAGACGCGTTTAGCCAAATATCAGCCAATCATGATCAGCCTTTGGGGGCCTGGGTGGAGCCACCGTACACCACGAAAGCCTTGGCTTGTTGCAAGTTTGCTCTAACTTTGTACATTTTTTCCTTTTTAGTTTTGGCTCTTGGTGCTCAGAGAGCCACCACTTCCTGCCCAGCTGGTTCATTACCGCAGGGAAAATGAGGGACTTTTGGGGGCAGATGTGTTTCCATTCCACTATCATAATGCCCCTAAAAATCCTTATTGCTCTTGCAGTATTCCTCGGGGGTCCCTGGGCTGGCCCCGGACGGCTGGGAAGACGGCAGGTCTGAGTTCCTCCGGCAACTAAAGGAAGAGAGGAGATGCCCTCCCCACCCCCACCCCATTCCCTCCTCTGGTCCCTGACAGATCTCCCCTCATGGTGCTCAGATGGTTACCACCATCCACAGATACGGGTGGCTACACATGCTGTCTGCCCTGCAGGCACAGGATGTTGGAGATCAGGCCTGGGAAGAAACGGGGTGGCTATGGCTACTGTCTGCATTTGCGTGGGGTTCCTGGGGGGAGGTGGGGAAAGTGGGAAAGAAACAGGTGCTACCTGTTGGACAAGGTGAATTTCACACTCTGCCTGGTGCCTTCCAGCAGGGCCTCTGGGATCCTCGCCTTGGCAAGGGCCCTGGGCAGTGCTGGCTTGCTCGCCTACAACCTGAGACAGACCACTGTCCCACTCGCTGCCTCGGTTTCCCTATCGGCCAAGGGAGGGGCAACAGCCCCTGCTCTGGTCCCAAAGCGTTCTTGGTTGTTCACAACGTTACAATGAGTTCAAGTTGGTATACCAGCTGCGAAGGCACTTTGGAAATGGGCCGTTAAAGCATCCAGCATGGAAGGTATTAGTGCTAGCATTTAGTTATTGACACGTGCCAAATATGCCAAGACAACTCACGGGAGGGGAGACTGCAGCCTACGGAAGCTCTGGTTTCTGGAATCAGCCACCCCCAGCTCTGTGTCACCCCAGGCAAGTGACTCAATCTCTCTGAGCCCCCATTTCTCATACACGAAACCCACTTTTAGGAATAGAAGCTTCCCAAGTCTGATGTGGCACCTGGCTAAATCATTCTAACAGGTATTTATTTGAAGAGCTCATTTCTATTCGCGGCAACCGATTGGTTTTCAATTTCAGGTAGAGATAGAAGCCCCTCCTCCCCCTTTTTTACATCAGTTTATGTAAGTGAAAAAGGGTGAGTTGCTTGAAAGAAGAATATTAAACAAAGAATACAGGTGGTATGGAGGATGGAGCAGAAGTCAAGATGGTAGCTTGTAAAGTTTCCTAGGTCCACTTACTTTAGAGTCCTTTTTTGCTTTAGGGATTTTCAAGATGACCCCGTGTAGTTGGGGTGGGGAGGGGTGTGCTCCGCCCTGACAAGCAGGGTGTCACATGTCTTCCCTTGATGGAGTGGGCCCACCCCTTCCTTGCTCGCCATCATCAATGAGACCACTCAGACCTCGGCCCCTACACCCACCCATAGCTCTTATTTAGTTCTTATTTCAGGACCATGATGCCCCAGTGCCCTCTTTCCCGGCCAAGGCACCTTCTCAGTGAAATGGGGGGAATAGTAAACCCTCTGTGTCAGAGCAGGGGCTCAATCAGGCAGCTCTGATGGGTCCCAAAGGGCACCAGCAGCCCTGGGATGGGCAGGGGGCACAGCAGTGCCCTCGGCTTGGAGGGGGGCTCCTCAAACAGGCCCCCCTGTGCCTGGCCAGGGCACCAGCTCCCCGCCCACTCATGGGATAGTGGCTTGGAGAGGAAGCAGTAAGCGCTGGGTCCCCGCTGGGCAGGGGCAGACTCCAGTTTCACTTTCTGCTGTGTCATGGGGTGGGGGGTGGCATCGGGGCCCAGCTGGCCAGCTGGGGCGGGTACCTAGACAGCTGCCAGCCCAGCTGCCAGAGCACAACCCACACCCACTCCTGCCCAGCAGCCTGCCAGAATAGGGGCTGGGCCCTCGGGCCACCCCTTAACTGCCTCTCCCCACAAAGTGGGGAGAACCTCAAGTGAGAAAAGCCAGGTGTTGGGGTGAAATGGTTCCTGTTGATTCTGGATGAGAGCTCTCTGACCGGACACCTGCTTCCTGCCTCCCTTTACTGGGCACATGTCTGCTGAGGACCTACTGTGTGCCAAGCTCTGTGACAGGTGCCGGCGGTACACCAGGGAGCAAGACAGACCCTGCCCTCTTGGGGCTCCCAGTTGAGTCGGGGTAGACAGAGGAAAGAGTAAGCAAAGAAAGAAAGAATCCCCTGTTGTGGGGAAAGTTCCACACTGTAGGCTTGGCGTTAGCATCTCAGGGAGGGGCGTGCATACATGCCTGTCTATGCACATGTGCGTGTCAGCAATGTGTCAGCTCCGGGGACACACAGCTAGATGAAGAACACAGACCTGGGGGCCAGATGTCCCCTGTTTGAATCTGGACTCTTTCACTGACGGGTGTGTGAACTCAGGTGACCTCAGGCAAGTCCCCGCTCCCGAGTTCCCCTGTCTGGGTGCTGGATTAAAAGTGTCTCCATGACAGAGCTGCAGTGAGGATGAACTAAGCGAACATCCCTAAAGACTAAGGGCTGTGCCTGGCACCGACCATGTGCTAGGTAACTCTCAGCTCTTATCTAAGAATAATAAATGTGCACTGTTCTTCTAGGAGGCAGTGCGGCTGTCCCCGCAGGCTGAGCGCACTGGTAACATGGTGAGTCCTTCCTCCTCGCTAAGCACTTCCCATGCCTGGTCTCACGGAATGGCCACAACCAACCCGCAGCTGGGCCTGTTCAGGTGAGGAAACTGAGGCACAGGCAGGTGAAGAAATGTGCCCAGTGGTACCCAGCTGGAAAGGCCTTTGACCCCAGGTGCAGGGGGCTTCAGGGTTAGGGGCCCTGCACTTGCTTGAATGCTCTGCTGTTGTCATCTTGAAATTCTTAATAATTTTGGAACCAGGTGCTCCGGGTTTTCGTTTGGCAAATTATGGAGCCAGTCTTGCCCGGATCTGACTTACTCCAAATCTGCCACTCTTAACTCCCACCATCAGGCAGCCAGGCCCAGAGTCGTTTTATCAGATCATCAATACAGTGTTTAGTGTGGGACTGAAATTCTGGGGAGAAAATGAAGATTTATTATGGGGCCGAATTATCCAAGTATGTATTTGTTTGTCTTTTGCCCCTATTAGAACACGGGCAGGGACGTTGCCAAGGTCAAGAACCCCAACTCATTCATTGTTATATCCTCAGGGCCTAGCATGTATTAGCTGCTCAGTTAATAGATGTGATACAATCAATGAATGGGAGGTTGACCAATCTCCGGAACCAAACCTATTTAAAGGACACCTCCCAGGAAAGCAGGTTGTTAGGGTGGTCCCTGGCCACCTCAGCAGGCTTCTGGACAGCCCCTGAAGGGTGTGGAGACACAGGTTTCTTTCCTCTCCCCGACCCAACATGAGTGGTTAAAGGCATGTGGTCCTGGACTCCTGGGCATCTGTTATTGGGGGAAGTGCAGTGTTCAGCTGAAAGAATACTCAGGTTTCTGTTCTGGGCAGGTTCAGGTCCCAGCCAGGGGTCAGGGAGCACAATTTCCTGAACAGCTTATTGAAAGGGGTTGAATTTTTGGATTAAATGTCCTTTTTCCTCTGAAATTCGAGTTCTTACCGTCTCAAAGCTCCAAATTATAAATATTACTGAGAAGCAAAGAATCATTTCAAAAGCCTTTAAGAGATTTATAACAATAATAAACATGCAGACATGTTTTGTTTTGTTTTTGCCAACGATTTGCATAGGCATTGTCTCCATTGCTTCAGCTAAACCTGTGAAGCAGGAGTTACTGTCCTCATTTCCTAAACGTTACAATCACCAGCATATATTGAGTACCAGGCACTTTACACGTATCAAGTCATGTTAGTTGCACAAGCAACATATAAAGGAGGCACTGTTATTATTATCTCTGGCTTTCTGATGAGAAACACGCTTGGAGAGAGGAACTGACACGTCCAAGGTCACACATCCAGCATGTGGTGGGCTGGGCTTCAAGCCCACATCTTCTATCCCAGGGGCCAGCAGCTAAGTATTTTAGGCTCTGCAGCCCACATGGTCTCTGTCCAGCTATTCCACTCTGCCACTGTAACAAGAAACCAGCCATAGATAAACATATGTAAAGGAACAGATGGGTCCGTGCGTTCCCATAAAACTTTATTTACAAAATACAGGAAGTGGGCCACATTTTGCCCACAGACTATAGTTTGCCCACCACGTTCCAGATCCAAAAACCTGCCTTTCTGTTAGGAAGAACCTGGCCCTGGCAACATTCTTTGCCAGCCCCTCTCCCCACCTGTGAGGTGACTAAGTTACATTTCAGAACAAAGACCACTGGCTCTGGAGCGTTCGCATAGGCCTCCCCTTCCTTGAAGGAATTAGGGAGCTCTTGGAATTCACCACTGCTTAGACCCGTGGTCGGCAAACTGCGGCTCGCGAGCCACATGCGGCTTTTTGGCCCCTTGAGTGTGGCTCTTCCTAAGCCTTAGGAGTACCCCCAATTAAGTTAATAACAATGTACCTACCTATATAGTTTAAGTTTAAAAAATTTGGCTCTGAAAAGAAATTTCAATCGTTGTACTGTTGATATTTGGCTCTGTTGACTAATGAGTTTGCTGACCACTGGCTTAGACTTTACTAGTGACTGCTATGATGGAATACCATGGGGATTTTAAATTGTAATTTTATTATCTGTCAACTTTGAAAGGGGAAAGTGTTGTAGTGAAAGGAAAACCCTCAGTAGGGCACTTTGGCTGTGGAACAGTCACCTCTTCAGAGAAGGAAAAATATCTTAAGACACAAAAAAGGTAACCGCAAGTGGATGGCAATTGGGTATGTGGGGGGCAATTTCCCCAACAGGCCAGAGGCTGGAGCTTAAGGATTCCTGTCAAGAGGATGGGGGAGGGCATGATTTTTAAAAACAGTTTTATTGAGATATGGTTCATGAACCACACAGTTCATCCATTGGAAGTATATAATCCAGTGCCTTGGAGTATATTCAGATGTAGGCACCGTTCATGGCAATCAATTTTAGAACATTTTTATCACCTCGAAGAGGAACTCCGTACCCTTTGGCATTGCCCTCACCCCTGAACCTCCAGTGCACCCCCCCCCCACCCTAAGCAAGCACTGATCTATTTTCTGTCTCTGTGGATTTGATACTTCATGTAAATGGAATCATAAGTATGTGATCCTTTGAGACTGGCTGCTTTCACTTAGCACAGTGCTCTCAAGGTTCACCCATGCAACAGTACATATTAGAACGGCATTCCTTTTAATAGCCAAATAACAGCCACGTTTTTATTTATCCATTTGTCAGTTGGTAGACATGTCCATTGTTTTCACTTTTCGGCTTTCCTGAATAATGCAGCTGTGAACATTCCTGTGTAACTTTTCGTGTGGACATCCGTTTTCATTTCTCTTGGGCCTATACCTAGGAGTGGAATTGCAAGGTCATACGGTAACTCCACGTTTAACTTTCTGAGGAACTGTCAGAGGCACGTCTTATATTGCTTTTTCCAATTTTGTATTCTGGAAATTTCCTGTTACTGGAAACAGAGAAAACACTGTGACAAGCACCCCATACTCATCATCCAGGTTCAACAATTATCAACCTTCCGTCAGTCTTGATTCTTCAGCCTGTCCTTCTCCCCTTTGTTTCCCGCTAAGGAGTTGGAAGCCAGTTTAAACACCTCACTTTATGTTGTTAACGGGGCTAAAATGTCTTTTGCCTCAAACCGTTCGGGTCTCCTACGCCCACATCCTTGTGTGGATGGAATTTGTGGAGAACGGAGGAATCAAAAGCAGTCTCCAGTGGATCCGTGTGGGGTGGAAAAGGAATAGCTTCTGAGTGAAACAGGACTGGTGACATCATTTGCAAAATGAAAATGTGGAGCCCTTTATTCAAAAACTAATAATGTGTTTAAAATGACAAGAGCAGAGCATAAAACCAAACGTTGGCCCCATGCAACTGTTCAGGCCACATGCCCATGAGACCAGCAAAAGGCTGCCCAAGCAGAACTGATTCATTGGACACAGGAATTTAGAGCCTTTGGTGCCTGGGAGAGACATACGTACCCGTCACCCCCAATCCCTGGAAAAGTTCCAAGGAAAGTTGGGTCTCCCCTGGTATGTGGGGCAGGGTTCAAACCTATTGCATTTGAGTCTCCAAAAAATTAGCTGACCCCAGCTGACATGTGGGTTATAAGTACTTTAAAAAAATAGCCACTTGTCTTAAGCCTTCTTCCCTAAGAGCCCACAGTTGTTTGACTTGGCCACCCCATTGTGTCCTGGATTCGGAGTGTACTCTGATATCACAGCAAATAATAGGCCTGCAGTCTTCACCACAGAGGCCCGCTGGTCAGCAAACAACCCGGAGCCACAGGGGGACCAGAAATGCCCACTAGAGGCAGGTGGCCTGGCAGACATCGGCAACCAGGCATAGCACCCACCCTCCCAGCTCAGACACAGCTCCATTATCCTTCTCACAGAGTAGCCTCTACCCGCCCATTGAACATTAGTCCCTGCACTTATCTAGATTCTCAGCCCAAGAAGCAGAAGCTCCCAGCCTTTAGTGCACCCAAGGCTGCACTTACACTAACAGCCTTGTCACGACTGGGAAGAGGAAGGAGAGAACAAATAAGGAGGTTGCAGCTCCTCCTCTTCTCTAGGACAGTCAATGAATGTTCATTCATCACACATAAGGGACTGTGTACTGGGCATGAGCAGTGTAGTAACCAAGACAGGCACAGTTCCTCCCCAGAGAGGCAGGAGAGGCCGTCGTAAACCAAAGATGAACAGAACATTGTAAGTGTGATTAAAATAATTACGTAACAATTACAAAAGCAACCACAACCATCAGGTCTGAGTACGTTCTGGCAGCTCTGGGGTTTATAGACAGCCAGCGTGATTCTTAAAGCAAAGCCCGGCCGGCCGAGAGTGACAGCAGCACCGCCAGGAGAAGGCAACAGAGGTAGGTGGTTCTGTTTTCGCTTTTGCTTTTTCCCTGCCAGCACTTTCTCTCCCACTTCCTGTAACAGATGTGACACCCCGTGGGAATGGTGGGAGAAGGCCTGGGAGCACCCATCCCTCAGCTACAGTCACGGTCCAGGTGTGGACACCTGACCCAATACCACTAATCACAGCAGCCCCCTTCTGAGCCAGCCACAGTGCTTGCTTCAGGTGTGGTCATGTGACCCAAGCAGGGCCAATCCACGATTGTCCTAACTGGAGTGGTGGGAAGGTTGCTTTTCCTCCTCTCCAGTATCCAGTGCTACCTGTGCCCCAGATATTGAGGCCAGTGAGCAGAGGGGAGCATAAATGTGAGATGGAATGGAGGAGAGAGGTGGGAGTGGGAGAGAGACTAGTGCTGCATTCTGAGCCCAGAGCCTTCCAGTCCCTGGATCAGCTCAGGCTCTCCCTTCTTCATCATAGCTACCGAGTGAGTAACTCCCCCCGCTCCATTCTACCCCAATACCATCAACTTTGACTTCTGTGTGGCCCAAGGCATCCCAATCCCAGACTTGGGGACTGTTGCCCTCTTCGTGGATTGTGTGGCACTGAAAGGGGTAGGCTATCCTCAGAGCTCATCCTCCCCTAGGTGTGCCTGCTGGACTTGAGAATACAAGAATCCCTAGACACACGTCCACGTGCCCCTCCCAATTAATTTCCCACGGAATCAGAGCTAAAGACTGCCCCCCATTCCTGCTTGTCTCCATCTCCCAGACCCCATCCGCACACACCCCTCTTCTCCACCATGGACAGAGCACGAAGCTTGTCCTGGCCTCCGCTCTGCTGCCCGCCCCGCCCCCGCCCCCCCCCCCCCCCCGTGTTGTATTTGTAATGATTCGTTTATGAGTGCTCCCCCATGAGTGAGAACCGTGAGCATGGGGGCTCGGGTCTCACTCATCTTTGCACCCCCAGCCGCTGGCACACAACAGGCAGGCAGCAAGCATGGGAAGGAGGGAGGCAGAGAAGAAAGATGGAGGGGAGAAAAGGGTGCTCATTCCTATTTATTCTGGTCCAACCAGTGGGTGACTCGGAAAGTCAGTCAAGTTTTGTATTGGTTTCCTCTACTCCAATGTCACCTTCTGGGAAAAGCGCATTCTCCCAGTCCCCTTCCTGGCCCCTTCCCTTTTCTATGTGTTCTTATCCTCTTCAGCACCTTCTACCACTATCAGTTCTTCCCTATGCTCCGTTTATTTTACTTACTACTTCTCACTGAAATGCCACCTCCAGGGGGGCAGGCATCTTTGTTTTGTTCTCTGCTGTATCCTCAGTACGTAGAACTCTACCTGTCACCTAGCAGATGCTCAATAAATGTCTTTGGAACGAATGAATGAATTCTTTGTGTTCACCAAAGCCACGGGTTTAGCAAGCTTGTTTCTTAAAAGAGCCAGGCACGTCATGCATTTTACAGGTGTGGTGTAAGTCGGCGATGTATTCGTTTCCTAGGGCGGCCATAACACCTGACAGCTAAACCTGGTTTGAACGTGGTTTGAACTGCACAGGTCCACTTATACATTTTTTTCCCCAGTAAGTATCTGTACTGTTTTCAATCTGTGGTTGGGCATCCACAGATGCAGAGGGCCGACTGTATGCATTGCTCTACGCCAGTGGTTCTCAACCTTCCTAATGCCGCGAGCCTTTAATACAGTTCCTCATGTTGTGGTGACCCCCAACCATAAAATTATTTTCGATGCTACTTCATAATGGTAACTTTGCTATTGTTATGAATCGTAATGCAAATATCTGACATGCAGGATGTATTTTCATTGTTCGCGACCCACAGGTTGAGAACCACTGCTCTACACCGTTTGATACAAGGAACTTGGACACCTGTAGATTTTGGTATCCATAGGGGGCCCCTGAACCACTGCCCACGGATACTGAGGGACAGCTAAGTTTTGGGGAGTCAAAGTTAAACATGGATTTTTGACTGTGCAGTAGGTCGCACCCCTAACCCCTGCATGGTTCAAGTGTCAATTGTACTACAAACTAAGTGGCTTAAAACAACAGAAGTTTGTTATTTCACAATTCTGAAGGCTAGAAATCCAAAATCTGGCAGGGCTATGCTCTCCCTCCCTACCCCCATGACCCCCACCTCCCACCCAGGTGCTCCGGGAAAATCCGTTCCTTGCCTCGTCTACCTTTGGTGGCTCTGATATTCTTTGAGTTGTGACCACATCACTCCAGTCTCTGCCTCTGTCTTATCCGTTTTCCTCTCTGTGTCTGTCTCTGCTTCTGTCTTACAAGGGTGCGTGTGAGAAGCATTTAGCGCCCATCTGGCTAATACAGGATCAACAACTCCTCTCAAGACCCTTAACTTAGTCACGTCTTTACCATATTACCACAGTAGGTAACATTCACAGGCTCCCGGGATTAGGAAGTGGATATATCTTAGCTCTCTGGGACCACCGTTCAGCCCACTACTGGTTATTTGCACAAAGAGCAGAAAAAGCAAAGATTCCCACCACCACTCCACTGGCCTGACAGACACAGAATGAAAAGAGTATTAATATTGTATTGTGTTGCTCCAATCAGAGTGTGAACATGATTTTTAGAGCACCATTTTGTCTTTTAATTATCCCAATTAAAAGAAATCATAGCAGGCTTATGATAAACATAGTACAGAAGAGTATATGTGGGCAATAAAGGAGCCCCTTTGCAATTTTTCTTGAACTCCAGTTGCATTTTCTCAAAAGTAACCACTGTGGGCAGTTTACATAATCTTCACAAATTTTCTAAGTATATTCAAGTGCACACACTTTTTCTTTTTTAAAATACGTTTTTATTGATTTCAGAAAGGAAGGGAGAGTGAGAGAGAACTATACATCAATGATAAGAGAGAATCATCGATTGGCTGCCTCCTGCACACCCCACACTGGGGATCAAGCCCGCAATCCGGGCATGTGCCCTGACCGGAATCAAACTGTGACCCTCTGGTTCATGGGTCGATGCTCAACCACTCAGCCACACTGGCCAGGCTGCATACACTTATTTGCTCATAACATTAAGATAACCGGGGGTGTTACAATATATTTTGAAGATAGGACAGCCCTCTGACCCACCTCATTCTTTCTAGTGATTTCTAGCATTGCATCTACTTAACTGTCCCACATTGGCCAACATTTTCGTTAACTCCAGGATTTTGTTGTTGAAAACTATATGCTCTTTGGCATGTGTTGAGTGTATTCATAGGATACATTCCCAGAAGTGGATCTCTCTCTCTCTCTCTCTCTCTCTCTCTCTCTCTCTCTCTCTCTTTCTCTCTCTCTCTTTGTTAATCCTCACCAGAGGATATTTTTTCCATTGCTCTTCAGAGAGAGTGGAAGGGGGGGAGGGAGGGAGAGGGAGAGAGAGAGAGAGAGAGAGAGAGACATCAGCTGGCTACCTCCAGCAGGGCCTCCAGCAGGGGACAGGGAGCCAACCCAGGCATGCACCCTTGACCAGGAATTGAACCTGCGACCCTTGGAGCACAGCTGATGCTCTAACCACTGAACCACTGGTCTGGGCAAGAAGTGGAACTTCCCTCAATCAAAGGATATGTGCATTTTAATTTCTACAGCTACGGCCCAGTGCCCTTCAAAAAGCTGGTATCCCCACACCCATAAACAGTATGTGTGAGGATGGCAAGGACCCCGTGTGCCAGGGGAAGCAAATCCAAATCGGGTAAGTACACGTTCCATGCCAGCCTGGATGGGGGTGGACCCAGCCTCTGAGGTCATCCCTGGAGCTTTCTGAGGCAGTAAGTGTTCGAAGTTCTCGCTAGCTTGGGTTTTATAAACAAAGGCAGAGTTTGGGGAGGTGAGCCAGGCCCGTGCAGCGAGAAGCATTGTGTAATCCAGTATTTATATCTTTAGTACAGTTAGAACTTAAATATGGACAAAACATATTTTTCTGTTAATTTACACAAACAAATATGTTCCCGGGCCCAACACCTCTAGTGCCAAGTTTCTAGGGGAAATGAAATTCGACTGTGAGATTATAAACCGCTAGGGAGACGACGAGAATGGAAAAGCCGCGGCAAGTTAGCTTTCCGCATCCAGATCTGGGCTGCTGAGCGGTGTCGCTTTCTGTCTTCGTTGCAGATAAACCTGCCAGTAATTTCAGCGAATGAAACGCGGATCCTGGAAAGGCCAGAAGATGGAAAACGCTCCAGTTTTGATAAAAGGAGGTCTGCTCTGCCTCCAGTCCTCCCTCCTGCTGGTCAGGACGCGCACAGAGGAGCTGATGAATTGAGGGAGAAGAAACGAGGCCGATGTGAGCCGCCTTTCAAGGGCTGTGTTGATATACAAGCCCAACAACCTGACACTGGTCCAAGAGGGGATTAAAGCAACATGCTATTGTGAGTGATTGCTTAATTTATTGAGCTGTGGCAAGATCTGTAATGAAACACAGCCCTTGCAACTGATAACCTCCGGCTGCAATTGAACTTGACAATTAAGGAATATTTTCCAAGGATTTTTCTGGAACAGCTTAGAGTTTTTTGTCTCTGTGGTGGGGTGCTTCTGAGCACTCATTTTGCCAGGCAAGCTTTTTTCTTTTCTTTTTTAGGAATGAAAGGCTGATGTTAATAGGAAATAAGCGTCACTTTATTGACTGCCTTGTGCACACCAGGCACTTATTATACTTTATCTCTAATCCTGACAACGGCCCAACGAAGGAACTCTTATTCGTCCCTATTTTACAGATATGAGGTTTCTAGGTGTTCAGTAACTTCCCCAAGTGACATTGTCCAAGTCTGGAGCTACTAGCCATTGGTGGCTATTTATGCCTAAATTAATTAAAATTTTAAAAATCAAAGAAATTCACTTCCTAGGTTGCACTAGTAGCTAGCGCAGGTGCCCACTCCCCAGGTGTGGCTGGTGGGTACCACACTGGACAGCTCAGATACGGACCATTTCGATGACTATGGAAAGTTCTCGTGATCAGTGCTGTCCCAGAATGTTCACAGGTAGAAGTCCAACCCCTTGCTTCAAAATTCTACTGTTACCCCTTGCTTCTTGCTTCTCTTCCTGGGGCTGAAAAGTAAGGACTAGAGCTGTAAGGCTAAACCCTGGCTTCACATTCACGTTACCTGGGCTGCTTTAAAAAATATTGATGATATGGCCCCAGCCCTGGAGATTCTGACTTTACTGTGATCGGGGGGTGGGGAGGCGGGGAGACAGGCATGAGGGGCTCTATAATTCCCCATGTGTATAGCCAGGATTGAGAGCAGCTAGAAGAGCGGGTCCACACACAGTAAGGTGGGAAGAGCTGGCTCATCTCCCAGCAGAATGGGGTCGCTGTGGGCCCAGACGTGGGCTTCCCCAGGCCTGCATCTGATATGAGGTTTCTAGGTGTTCAGTAACTTTCATCAGACGGCTCGGGGTCCTTCCTGCAGGCAGGGAAGACCTGAGTGCTTTCTCACACGCGTCCTGCTCAGTGGAAACACAGTGAGGAGCTCTGCTTTCAGGAACAGGCCCCGTCACGCCGCCACGGAAGAAAGGAGATGGGATGCAAGACCACAGGGACAAAGTGGGGTCTGCAGCCCCACCTTTGGAGTGGAAGCCTCGGGACGAGCCCATGCTGTAATCTGCCTGACAGAACAAAAGTGTTTCCCAGCTCTGTCAACAAGGACATTGCAAAGGAAGAAAAAGGGAGGGAGAGAGAACCTGCGGATTGAGAGAGACGTAAGAGACACATCAACCAATCCCAATGGAGGGAAAGGGTTAGAAATACTGACCAATCCCGTCGCAGTGAGCACCACCAGCACTCGGATTAGGGTCTCTACGCACCACCTCTGACAAGAAACCGGGGTTCTGTGCAGAGACAGCCGATCCCCGGTCTGAGACAGGACACGTGCAAGAGGAGCCTGGAACGTCCTGTCACCCGGGAGCGTGGAAGCTCTGGGAGACTCTGGATCATGCCCGAAAAGATGAAGGGGACAATGTGATAGGACAGCTGGCCAGATGGGACAGTGGAGCATCAATAAGAACAGTAACTGCACTGGACTGGAATGTGTTAGATATGTCCAATCTAAGAGTTCACAACGATACCTAGAAAAAAAAGCATAAACTCATTTGTCATCTTTGGGCGATGTTGAGAAACCAACTCATCATGTTGAAAATTGTTAAATAAAAGGAAAGAGTCAAGTATTTTTCCTTTCTGGTATGAACCGTACCTTACAGTAACCAAATAGCTGATAAAGGAAGTGTCTTTTTATGGAGGTATTCCAGCTAACACACAAATACAGAAGGGTAGGATTTATTTGCCACTATTTTGCAGCCTCTAATGGGTCCAGACAGTGATCATCGATGCTGCTAACATCACCAGACATTCTGTGCCTTCAAATGGAAATCCAACATAGCCACTAGGAAATCATCATAAACACACACATACACACACAAGCATTAATCTAAGTAGCTTCTAGATCTAATTACTGATTTACAAGAAATATACCGGGGAGAGGAACATGTATAATATCAATATGGTGATGCAATAGGCAAAGTCCAGACTGTAGGACACTCTACAAACAAATCAACCCAGCTTCTCAACAAAGACATTGCAAGGGAAGAAAAAGGGAGGGAGAGAGAACCTGCAGATTGAGAGAGACGCAAGAGACACATCAACCAATCCCAGTGGATGGAACTTGTATGGGTCCCAATTTTATCCAACTGTAAAGAAAACATTTATGAAACAACCAAAGAATTTTGAACACTGAGTAGATATTTGCTGATATTAAAGTATTACTGTTAGTTTTAGTAGGGGCTATGATGGGATAAACCCCACTCCTCTTTTGGAGCCATATATGAAAATATTCGCAAAAGAAATGATTTCTGTCTGGATTTTGCTTCTAAATATCTGAGATGAAAGAGGAGGAGAATGGGTATAGATAAAACAAGACTGGCTGAGAGTTGGTGGTTGTTGAAGCTGGGAGATGGGTAGTTGGGGTTCATTGTACCACATTGCTCTTGTGTATGCTTAAAGTTTTTCATAATAAAAGTAAATTTAAAAGTGAAGAACAGATTTTTCCTTCCCTTCACTCAAGGGTATTAGGCTGGTCTGCCCACCCGCTGGTGGCATCTCTGGGGCAAACCTGGGTAGCAGATTTGAAATAAATCTTAGCACGCATATGTGCGTGCACGCGCACACACACACAGACACCCCCCCCTCCTGTCTCCATGGCAATCAGTTAGGTGAGGCAGCACCATCCCAAAGGTTCCTGTCCTTAGGAGGATCAGGCCAGGCTTCCAGTGTCGTGCCAGGCCCACCATAGCTCCCTTTAGTCCTAGTCAGACCTTCACCAGGGGCACCCCCATCCGATCTGCCTCCTGGCACCCCCTTCCCATTAGCCTTGCCCTCCCTGTGTACCCCCTGAGGAAACAGAGGTCCATTAGTGGAAAGAATAGGACCCCGAATTGAATTTAGCTTCAAATTCTGACTCCCCACTGAAAAGCAGACATTTAACCATCCTGAGCCTCATTTTTCTCATCTGTAAAATCGGCATAATGTGACCTCAACTAACTCAATACATATTATGGGGGGGGGGGGCAAAAAGGACCTAGTCTCCACCACGTGGAACTAGACATTCAGAGGTGAAAGGCAATCTTAACAGACTACAGTATAAGTGCCATGAAAGGCACATGTTATAAAATTTGAGATGTAAGGGTGCTTAGTCACATCCTAATTTTTTGAAAACTGGCAGTCACTACATAGGAAATACCATGTCTCTCAATCATACTTTTCATTAACCAGAGTATCCATACTTCCAACTACTGAGTATCCAGCTATGCAGACACATGGAACAATTTCGCTTCACTTAGTGCGTACATTTCCACGCGGGAGGCACTATTATTCCCATTTTGTGGGGGAGGAAAGGAAGCACAGAGAGGCAAGGACCTTGCCCAAGGCTATCCTGTGGGTACAGGGCCCTGTCTTCTGCGATTGACCCTCTGCATTAAGCTTTGAAACGCAGCCACAGGGGCAGGAAATCAGAAAAGCTAGGAGACCACTAAGCTCTCCGGGTCAAATTCCATTTTACAAATGAGGAAATAGTGGCCCAGAGAGGCCACGCAACTTATCCTGGGCCCCACAGGGAATTAGCCGCTCAGCCTGTATCCAGCCTGCTAGAGGAGAAGGTTGAGGGGAGGCCCCATGCGTGAGGGAAGCTGACTCTCACTGCCCCATTTAACCCTGTCCAAGCTGTCCTGGGACCGGACACTTAGATACTAAAACCAGGGAAGTCCTGGGCTAACCAGGATGAGCTGGTCACGCTGTCTCCTAGTGAGGTGTCTAAATGGACGTTTTCCAGAACGCGGCCCTGGGATGGAGCTGGCTGGGGAGAACCTCTAAGGTCCCGTAAAAGTGCTGGCTCTTCACGCCTGTGGCCCCTGGGGTACCACCCACGTGTCAGCCCAGGGGCCTCTGGAATGGCCCATCAACCAGCATCCTTCCTTACACCTCTCCAATCTGCCCCCCACCACCCCCAACAGCCAGAGTGCTCTTCCTGAACCGTAAACCTCCTGGCCCCGTACCCCAGTCTACAAGTCCAACTAGTGTCTCGTTTCTCCCATGGCTTTAGGACAAACTCTCCCTTTTGCAGGCCTGAGGCCCCCTGGGGGGCTTTGTCCAGTCCCGCTGTGCAGCCTCCCTCTTGAACCCACCCTACCGCTACGATATCCCAAGCAGGACCGGGATAGCCAGAGACCTAACCATACTTCCCCCCTTACACACATACCTTTTCCCACCACCCCACCCTTTCCTCCCACAGGACCAGCACAGTCGTAATCACATAGCTATTTGTATATTTAACGGATTATTAATATCTAGTCTCTCCCACCCCTGGCTAGACTGTCAGCCCACGGGGGCGGGTATGTGATATTCACTTCTGTTTCACAGCCCCTGATTCAGTGGTGACACATGAATGGTGCTCAGTCAACAGTCATCAGGCCTGGCGGGGTGGCTCAGTTGGTTGGAGCATCGTCCTGTACAACAAAAATGGATGTGGGTTCAATTCTTGGTTGGAGCACATACCTAGGTTGCAGGTTTGATCCCCAGTCAGGGCACATATGGGAGGCAATCGATCAATGTTTCTCTCTCACATCAATGTCTCTCTCTCTCCTCTTCCCCCCTTCCTCTCTCTCTAAAATCAATAAAAATATATCCTCAGGTGCAGATTAAAAAAATAAACAGTCATCAGATGGACCAACCAGTGCCATCGTTACCTCCAACCAGGCCTCCAGCTGAAATTACAGAGCTTGTATAGCCACCCTGACCTCCAGCCCCATGCCAGACAGCCTGGGATCCGTCACATGACAGAAAATGATCCCAGAAAAAGACCGGCTAAGGGCTCCCGGAAGGAGCCATGGCAGCCAGGAGCGCCATGCTTTTTCTTTCATTATTTTACCTGTCTATACACTCTTTCTTGGCTCTGTTCACATTCCTACTCCAGCACCAGCTCAGAAAAAAAAAAAAACATTAGCTGCAGGGTTTGAGACAAGATAGCGGGCTGGTTCCTTCTCTGCTTGTAATCAACGCTGAAAATGTTCACGACTTGCTTTGGCCGCAAAGGTAATAAGAAAACGGCGCAGCCTGATTATCTGGCTACTAATTACCTCCTTGATTTTTCTTCCCCTTTCCTGAAATTAATTCCAGAGTTCCCCCACATTTCTCGTTGCTAAGCTATAAAGTTCCAGCTTCCACAGCGCCCATGCCAATTGGCAGGGAGCTCCCGGCATCTCCAATCACAGGCAGATGCTGAAAAGAGCATCCACATCGCAGCTCGCCCCGGGGGGTTCTGGAATGTTCTCGCTGACGTTATGAACCGCAAAGATCTTTGTCTAAGTCTGAAAAACCTGTTTTCTCAGTCTTGTCTGCCTCTCTCTGGATCGCAGGCTGCCCGGGAATGCCAGGGGTCCTGCAAGGTCCCCAGGAATAACAGGGTGTCCCTGGGTTGCCTGGGTGGGGTCAGTGCCAGAGCAGCCCTGGACCCACTCGTGGTTGACCAGACTAGAGCAGGGTGGCCTGCCACGGGCGTGAGGGGCGCCACAGCCCCAGAACTAAGCTTGGTGAAAGGCTGCAGGAGGCTGAGGGAAAGTGGACGCCAAAGAATATGGGGTTGCTGGGGTGGAGGCCACGTTTGCAAAGGACTTTAAAACACGTGGATGGAGGGCCATCCTCATGTCCACCACCAGGATCCTAATGCAAACAGCCACCAGGAACTGAGCACCTGCTATGCACCGGAAACATAATTTTTATTTTTTAGACCACTTTATTGAAGCATAGTTGACTTCCAAAATTGAACATATTTAATGTATACAACTTGATAAATTTGGAGATAAGCCTACACTCGTGAAGCCTTCACCAAAATCTATACCATAAATATCACCTCCAGAAGTTCCCTCCTGCCCTTTTTATTAATCTTACTAGAGGCCCAGTGCACGAAATTTGTGCACAGAGGGCTGGGGGGATCTCTTCAGCCCAGCCTGCACCCTCTCCAATCCAGGACCCCTCAGGGGATGTCTGACTGCTGGTTTAGGTCTGATCCCTGAGATCGGGCCTAAACCGGCAGTCGGACATCCCTCTCACAATTCTGGACTGCTGGCTCCTAATTGCTCATCTGCCTGCTTGTCTGGTTGCCCCTAACTGCGCCCTCCCTGCTGGCCTGGTCACTCCTAACTACCCGCCCCTCCCAGTGGCCTCGTCACCCCTTACTGCCCTCCCCCTGCTGGCCTGGTTGCCCCCAACTGCACCCCCCACCAGCCTGGTCGCCCCTAACTGCCTCCCCTTCTGGCCTGATCGCCCCACACAGCCTGCTTGTTTAGTCGTTTGGTCGTCCCTCACTAACCCCCCTGCCAGCCTAGTTGTAGGCAGCCATTTGTGAGGGTGTGATGGTCAATTTGCATATTGCCGCTTTATTATATAGGATTTTTGTAATGAGAATGTTTGACATTAACTCTACCCTCTTAGCAAAAATGTTAGTGTACGGTAGTACAGTGCTAACTGCCACCACATACTGTACATTAGAGGCCCAGAGCTCACTGGGCATAACTGACACGTGTGCCCCTGGGCCAGTGACTCCCCATTTCTCCCTCCTCCCAGCCCCTGGCAATTCCCCATTTTACTCTCTGGTTCTATGACAGGGACTCTTTTAGGTGCCTCATAATGAGCGGAACCACGCAGTATACTGTCCTGTGTCAGCTTATTTCACTCAGCATGATGTCTTCCAGGCTCATCCATGTGTCCACATAAGTCAGGATTTTCTCCTTTTTATGGCTGGATGATATTCCGTTGTATGCATATACCACATGTTCTTTGTTCACTCATCTGTCATGGGATATTTAGGTTACTTCCACCTCTTGGCTATTGTGCCAGAAACCTTTAGATGCACAGCTCCTGCCACCCAGAAACTCCCATGGGACAGACTGAGAACATGCTGGAGGTTGGCTGGCTTTGTTTGTACTGCTTCCACCTTAGTCACTAAGGGGAGCCAGGCCACAGGGGAAGTCATGAGACCCAAGCCTGGCCACATTGATTGGCTCTGGGGTGGGCACATGACCAAGCTGGGCCAATCAGAATCTTCCTTGAACAGTCTTTATTGCCAGAACTATAGAAAAACACATCCCTCCCACACCCACACCCACCCCACCTGCCAATGGATTTGCTGAGCTGGTAAACCATAGTGGGAGGAAGGTGTCTGAGGGACATGAATCCCCTTGACAATGTTCGAGCCCAAGATGCAGCCAGGGGAAGTCAGATCTACTCCCTAGATTTTCATTACAAACAGTGAATTCCTTGTCTGTTAAAGCCAATTTGTCTTGTGTGTCCCTGTGTGTAACTGACAGAATGTAGTACAGACAGTCACTTCTCCTCATGGTGCCCAGCTCTAGGTTGGGCAAATTGCATGCATTCCCACATAGGATCTTCACAATCACCTGCTGAGGTATTCCATTTTGCAGATAGGAAAAATGAGGCTCAGAGGGGTGAGGGAGTCTTGCCCAGATAATACTGCCAGTATGTG